TCTTATTCACTTTTTCAAAAATATAAAAAGAAAAAAATATACATATAAATTATGTATAATTCATTTCGTTCGGTCTAATTGGTTCAATAATTCCTAGACTTGAATTGATTAATCAATATTTTTATTGAAAGAAAATTTAATTGAAATATATTACTGAATAGATCAAATTTAATTTGATTCAATTTAATTTTTGATTTCGTTTCAGTCCCATCCACCTTCAATTTTAAATAAAACATTTAATATTTTATGCGATTTTCAGTTTATAATTAAAATTTTTGTTTGCAATTACCTAAATTGATATTTGCAAATTATTTTTTTAATATTTTTGTTAAAGACCTAACTGTTATATTTTAATATTAAATTAAACCCTAAATTAAATCTAAACTAGATTAAAAATAAAAAGTTATTAAAATTATTTATAATTTTTATTTTAATAAATATAATATATAATAATACTTTAAATCTAAACAATTTAAATTAAAATTTGAATAGTTCAAATCTCATTCAGGGATAAGCACGGAAATCAGACCCATATTTAGTAGATTCAAAAATCTGACAAATAGTAATGAAGCCAAATGTGATAATTGATTGTGAGAAACAGCCACAGCTTGCTTACTGAGTCTTAGAAGGACAATCAATTATGAGAAAAATGAGGCCTTTGGATGTTTTCTTTATCAAACCATGGTTTTGATAGGTAGAATTGATTATTTTTAAGTATCCAAACAGTCACTTAGCCATTTTATAATAATAATAATAATATAAAAATTAATGATGTTTAAGTCTTAAAATAGGAATTTAGTTACAATTTAGTCAATTTTTATTTAAAGATGAATTGTAAATATTATTTTACATAATTGCAAATATAAGATTTTTAGCACTAGAAGTAATTTATGAGATTTAAATGCCTAATTTACAATTGAAGTCATCATATTTACAACTATCTAAATTAATTTTTGTAACTTATCTTTAACTAAAATATTTTGGAATTTAACCATCGTTAATTTTTTTTTGAAATTTAATTATCATTCTCCTTATATAATTAATTTTCTCATATTCCCTAGGTAAAAAAAAAAATGAAACTTTAATTTCATCTATACTCACCTCCAGCTTTCACCACCTAAACCAAGTTTACACATTTTATATATGTCATCTTTTTTAAGTTAACATGACCCCTTGTGCTGTCTTCGTATTTTTTTATTTATTAAAAAACAGTTATACAACTTGATTTGTTGTCAATGCCATTCAAGCTATTGGTATATAGTGGCTTTTGAAGAGCTGTTTCCCTATACGAAGGAAGAATTTTATATTATAAAACTTTTGAAGATTTTATAAAACGAAAAAGAAAAGAAAAGAAAGAGGGAGATCATAAAAGAAAAGGAGATCTATGCATCCTTTTTTTAATATCAAAAGTCATTCAATCTAACTAGATTTTAGAACCCATGATGATATACGGGAAATTTGATCCCTGATTTACGGGGAATGAAAAATAAGGAAATAAAATTAAACTCATTGAACTCATTGAATAATTTTTTAAAAATAGACAATTAGGATTATAAAATTTTAATAAAGAGAAAATAGTAAACAATAATTTTTTTTAAAAAAAAGCTTTTAACCCAACTACACTATTTTTGTCAAGTAATTAAATCAAAACTCATTAAAATCCTTCGCACCTTCTTCATTTCCCTTAAAACTAAACAGACCATCAAAACTAATACCCTTTCTGTTAAAAAATATAATGTATTTTTAATTAAATTTCACCTCTAATAAAGTAGTTACCTGCTTTTAAACTAACCTTATTTTTTTATATTTACTCCTATTAAACACTCTACAATAAATATAAAGTCATTATTAATAGGGGTACTTTTAAAAAAAAGACAATGATTACATCTCAAAAGACTAAAAATGTCTTATATTTTTTAACATCCAACTCCTCAAAAAATGTCTTACATTTTTTAATGGAAGGAGTAAAAGTTAAACATTTAGTAAATATTAATTTAATGATTTTACAACAAATAATAATATTTAAAAGATGTTAAATATAATTGTATGAGTAATTACAGGTAACTAACTTTATCAATTTGATGAGGAAAAAAAAACTTTATCAACAAAAAATAAATATTTTTGTATTCACCATGCATCCCTTTCACAACAATCCATAACCCTCCTCATCTTTTTACTTCACCATCTCTAAATCTCTCAATTTTTCCTTACTTGCTTCCGCTTCACTATCTCTGAAAACCTTCATCCTCATCACCATCCCCAACCTCTGCCTCTTCTCCTTCTCTTTCAATTTAATCATCGTCGTCTCTTTTGACAATGAAACTTCATTGCATCTTCTCACCATGGCTGCATATTTATTCATTGAACTTTGTCGTCGCTTTAAATCTACTCTCTCCTAACCATGGTATTAAAAATTGAACCAGACCGGCCGGTCCGACCGGTGACCCGACGAACTGAAGACCAGTTCAGTCCGGTTCATATGGCCAAAGTGGCCTTATGTGGCCCAGGTTAACCCGGGTAAACCCGCCCAACCCTCGGGTTAAAAGGGTTAGGCGGGTTATTATTTTTTGAAGAGACTAACCCCCAAAACGACGTCATTTTGGGGGTCATATTATTAAGAAAATATGCGAAGGTTGAACGGTCTGTAATCCATATTCTCTCATCCTCTCCTCTGTCCTAACTTAGTCAGAAACCCTAACTTAGTTTGTCTTTGTCCTCTCTGCTACGGCTCTGCGTCTTAACTCTCAACTCTTAATCTCTGAATCTTCGATCTCGTATTCTCGGGGCGAAGGTTGAACGGTCCGTACATTGATAGCTGATAGCTCAATCTCTGAACGAAAATGAAGGTTGAACGCATTTCATAGTCTCAGTCTGAACTTTGCCGGTTCACCCTCATCGTGTCTCATCTATGGCTGAATCTGGATGCTAAACCCGTAACCATCTTTGCCTCGAAGCTTTGCCCTCGTCTCTTATCTCATCTCTCATCTCTGCCTCGAAGCTTCAACGGTGAATGCTGTGCTCTGTCTGAATCTTGCCTAAGCTTCAACGGTCCGTATGAGCCTCTCAAGTAACTGCTCTCTCTCTCCCCCCACTTGATTCAAGTATGCTTTTCTCTCTCTCTCCTCTGCGAGCTTGTGGACGGAATGATATCTCAAGGAGTTTAACGTGGTCCGGGAAGGTGTCTGAATTTCAGAATTTGTGAATGGCAATGTTACAATCACTGGCTACAGCAATTAGAGTTAGAAAATTAGAAAATAATCAAATATAATTTTTGTCATAGCCCTTTGGCTCGATTTGGTTCATAAGATTCAAGCCATAAACTTTATGATTTATCAAACCATAAAACTGAGCTTCATGTTGCTCTGTATCTTCGAGCTTCATTTATGACTTATGTATGTATTCTGATTTGCTCTGGTTGCTGAAAATTAATCTGAGCTTTATATTGCTCATCTCTGTCTGAATCCGTAAATCGAGAAGGCGAGAACCTCTTCTAGTTTTGGAATTCGAATGCTGTGCTCTGTGACTCTGTTTGAACTCTGAATCTTGTTTGTGATTTTTATATGTATTTTGATTTGCTCTGGTTTTTGAAAATTAATTCGAGCTTTATATTGCTCTTGTGTACTGTATTTTGGATTTCTAGCTGCTATGATTGCTCTGGCTGCTCTGGTTTTTTTTACATTATATGTTTATTTATGTTGAAATTATCGTAGCTTGCAGATTAAAGTTACAATATGGATATTGGAAGTAATTCGAGTAGTGATGGAACTGAGAATCCTACCCCCAATTCCAACAATCCTTCTCCCAATTCCAACAATCCCACCTCTGCTAGCCATAATGACTCCACATCTGAAACCCCATCAGTTTGTGAAAAAAAAGATCATGCATGGGCACATGTTGCTTTAAGAAAAGAGGGTAACAAAAATGTGTATACATGTCTTTATTGTGCATTAAGCTATAAAGGAGGTGGAATAAATAGATTGAAGCATTATCTTGTTGGTGTAAGTGGAAATGTAGTTTCTTGCAGTAAAGTTCCTTTTGATGTTCGTCATCAGATGCAAGAATCATTAAAAAGTGAGAAAAAGAGAAAGCTTGTTGATGTACAAGTAGACATGGAGGAACATGTGTCTAATGTTAATGCACCCAATGCACCTGCTCCATCTAAGTCAATCCCTGAGAGTAGTGCTAGTAAAAAGAAACCTCCTACTATGCCAGTTGAAAATTATTTTACCCTTAGGACAACTCTAGGTTCCCAACCAGGCATTAAGAGTGCATTTGCAACTAAAGAAGCACAACACAGTGCAAAAATGGCCATTGCTGAATGGGCTATCATCAATTGCATTTCATTTAATGTATTAGATTGCCCATTCTTTCAAAAAGCTATGGATGCTATTGTTTCAATTGGGCCTGGGTTTAAGGGTCCTACTGCTTATAAATTTAGAGTTAACTTGTTGAATGATTGGAAAAAAGAATGTCAGCTACTTATTGAGAGTCATTGATCTAAATGGAAAACTTATGGATGTACACTCATGGCTGATGGTTAGACAAATGTCAGGCAACAAACTTTGATAAATTTTCTTATATATTCTACATATGGCATAGTATTTGTAAAATTTATTGATGCTTCTAATTTAGTGAAAGATGCCAAGACTTTATTCTTATTGTTTTCTAAAGTGATTAAGTGGGTTGGTCCCAACAATATTGTGCATGTGGTGACTGATAATGCTGCTAATTATGTAGCATGTGGCAAGTTGATTAAAAAGAAATATAAAAGTATTTATTAGTCACCTTGTGCTGCTCATTGCTTGAATTTTACTTTGAAAGACATTGCAAGTATGTCTCATGTGTCACAAATTGCAACAAAGGCATCAAAGATCATTGTGTTTATTTATAATCATATGGTCTTCCTGTCATGGCTCAGGAAAAGAAAGGGTTGGAAAGAAATTGTGCATCTTGGTACAATAAGGTTTGCTACAACATTTATCACATTACATAGCATATATATGCACAAGCATGACTTGCAAGCAATCACTAATAAGCATTTTGTGGATCACAAATTATCAAGGACCGAAGTCGAAATAATTGTTAGTGCCATCATATTAGATAATCGGTTTTGGAATGAATGTCTTGAAGTTGTGAAGATTGTGTCTCCTCTTATAAAATTATTGAGAATTGTTGATTCAGATGAAAAGCCTTCTTTGCCTTATGTTTATGAAGGCATGCAAAGGGCAAAAAAAGCAATTAAGGTAGTCTTCAATAATAAGAAAGACCAATACAAGCCTTACACAAATATTATCCAAGCCCGATTGGATAAGCACTTGAAGACCAATCTTCATGTAGCAGCATATTTGTTGAACCTTTCCTTCTTGTATAATGATGACTTTGTTCACAAAAGAAGGTTAATGGATGTTATGCTTTCAGTGTTTGAATCAACTGAAAATGAAGATGTTGATTATATTGTGATGATGAAGCAGTTGAGCTTGGATCGTGACCGTAAAGAATCTTTTGACAAAGCTTTATGTCATAGAGCAGCATAGAAGCTAGACCCTTGTAAGTGTTAATATTTAATATGATCATGGTAATTTTATTTATCATATAACATATAACTAATTGTCTTTTATTTGCAGATGAATGGTGGTCATTTTATGGAAGTTCTGTTCCAAAGTTGCAAAATCTTGCAATGCGTATTCTTAGCCAAACTTCTTCCTCTTCTAGTTGTGAGAGAAATTGGAGCTTGTTTGAATGCATCCATACCAAAAGAAGAAATAGATCGGAACATCAAAGACTAAATGATTTAGTCTTTACAAACTACAATCTATGATTGAAGCATAGGTAATAAAAATAAAAGTTATGAATATTTTTAATAAATAAAAATTTTATTATTACTATCTCATGGTAGATATATTCTTATATTTGATTGTTTTGATCTCATTAAAGGAGCCTATTGAAGAAAAAGACAAGTTTTGATCCAATTGATTATGAATCTATTGACAAATTGAACTTTTGGATTGCTGAAGAGGAACAAGAGCCAGCTCCAGAGTTTGATGTTGATGATGTCACTAATTTGAAAAGTGCTATGCATAATGAGAATCTTGTAGCTTCATCAACTTCTGTGAGAAATAATGAAAGTTTATACTTACTAATATGTCTATATTGCATAATATATAATTATTTTTTATATAATGATTAATGTTAATTTTTGTCATAAATAGCTGAAGAAGATATGAATATTTCAGAGCATCCACATTTGAATGATGATGTTGGAAGTGGTTCTGGTTTCTCTCAATCATCGCCTAATGTTTCAATCCTTACTCTTGGAGATTTGAATGAAATTAATGAGGATTTTGGTGTTGATTATTATTAGCTTTAGACTTTTTGATGATTAAAGGATTGTAAGGATGAATATTTTAAATGTTGTGTTTTTAATGATGTTTCGATGATTATGTTGGACTTGTATGTGGTATTATATAAGATATTAAGTCTTAGAAAATTTATTTTTATTTAAATCATATTATTTTATTATGTCCGGTTTGAATCTGGGTTGACCCCCGGTTGAACCTCTGACCCCCAATCGTAGCCGGTTCAATGGCCGGTCTGATTTTTAGTACCTTGCTCCTAACCCATCCACCCCCCCCAAAAAAAAAAAAGAGAATGGAACAACTATAATGAAGTCAAGAATGGAGTTTCTCTATCCTGCATGTCTTTTTTTTTTTTTTTCGTATCTTCTTCTGCTGCTTTTCTTAATAAATATTGAACAGTTGTACATTTATAAGAATATGTTGTGCAATTATATTTTTCTGATTTTTTATTTTTGATATTCTATACTTCATGCGTTTTCCAATTTTATTTCGCCAAAATACTGTGTTATTTTATTCTGTAATCATTGTTTAATGCGTTTTTTCTTTTAGTCCTTATTTGATTTTGATTTTGGTAGCTTCAATCGTTGTGATTAGATTTTGATTATGTTAGCTATTTTGTTTATTTTATTAATTAGGTCCAGTTCTTCTTGGTTGGTAATTGTTTGGAATTGTTTTTTTTTCATTTTTATCAGTTTTCTCCTATTTTTATTTTATTAATTAGGTCCAGTTCTCTTGATCGATTATTGTTTGGATTTTCTCATATTTTTTAGCTATTTTTATTTAATTTTTTTATTTTTTTTAATTATTAGTTTCTTCCTTGAATATCAGTTTCATTTTATTTTATTTTTTCCCTATTTATTTGATTTTGGTTTTGTAACAAAATTCCAGAACATCATGGGGGACCCACATGGATCAATAACACTAATCAAAAGTGGAACACTGCAGAGGCAACTATTTATCAACAATAAACCAATGGATTTTACAATTAAAGTAGAAATAGAAATAGATGGATAGATGGATTTATATAATCAATTAATTTATATTTGAAATGAGAATGGGTCCTAAATATTAAAGAAGTTTTGAAAATGATAAAATTGGCACCATGTGTCAAGGGCTCAAGACACCTGATGTAGATAATAGACTTTTTATATCTATTTTGAAGACAATCAATATATGTAGTTGTAAAATTCTCATTTTATATAGTGAATCCGTTTAGTTATTGAAAATGATAGAATAACAAAATCAAATTTTTTTGTCATGAACTCAAATGAAGCACTCAACTTTATTAACGATCTTTTATGATCATATATATTTAGATAAATCTGATAAACCTATTAAACATGCATATAGCTTTGGATGTGAATGCAAATTTCATGATTATATTCTAGTCTATCTCAAATTTTAGAGATATGATCTGTTATAATATTGTGGGATAAAACTTCTTGTTTGATGCATATGTTAATATGTTATGACCTAAATTGCGGGCATCAATGTTGAATCTGGACAAACATGGGGCGAAATTGAAAATTATGTAGGATATAGGGCTGGGCTAATTAAACTAATTTTCACATTTTTTTTTACAAACAAAATTTAAATATTGTGTCCATGCTTGCTCTGTATTTGCAAGTCTAAAGAATCCAAGGAGACTAGTGAATAAGATTGATCATTCAATAGAGAAAAGCACAAATAAATAAAAAATTGTCACATTCATTTATTTCCCGGATCCAATGAACCAAGGTTAAAATTGAGAATTCAGTAGATGACATGGAAACTAAAAGGATGGACTGTATATATCAACATGCTACAGCGTGCAAGTTGTGAGAGGACCCAAAAATAAAGATAAGATGTACTTGTCCATATAAGATACAATTTAATTATATAAGATAGATATGCTCACTTAAAAAATTTAAATGCATTTTTCTACTTGCATGTTATTTTATTGTTTCTTTATTTATTTTTATGGACATAATTCACTAATACTTTCTTTTAGATGGAGAGAAAAGTAGGGAAAAGAAAATTATTTGAGAAGATAGATATGTCCTTTTTTGGATAGTAAGAGGAAAAAAAAAAGGAAAATTATAGGACAAAAAAATCATCAGACAAATGTTTTCTTCTAGAAGTTTTTCTTTGTGGAAAGATTTTGAAGAGTAAACTAAACATGTTTTCTAAAATTACCTGTATTTTTTTTATGTAGATATTAGTCGCTCTTCTTTTCTCTATATTTTTTCTTCCAAGTACAATGAGAGACATTAATATTTTCCCTTTAATTTTATCTTCCTTCCATTTTTCTTCCTTTCATTTTTTGTTCTTTGCTTTCATTTTTTTCCTCATCCAAATAAAGTATGCAATCCCACCAAATTTATAAAACCAGGCACTTCGACTTGGGGGGAAATTCCAATAATTTGCTTGTTGGCCAATCAGAATCTTCATTTCATTGAATCCATATATGATACGCTTCTTTTTCATATTTAGGACAAAAAAAGAGGCCAATCGCTTCACGGGTACTTGGCATATGATGTTTTACACTTTGGTTTTATTTGCACATTTCTTTCCCCTGGATCTAAACTTAATTATATTATTGTATAAATTAAAAAAATATTTTTTCTGTAGCAATGACTCTGCTACAGTGCTACCTATAGAAGTGAGTGACGTGTGAACGGTTCTTAGGCATTGGCAGCTCTAATATTTGGGAGTCCAGACCGGACAAAAATATACTTATTTGATAAGTGCTTCACGTGATATGAAAATAATCGCTTGATTTAACCACATAATTGAAAGAGACTTTGTTATATAATATTTAAAATACTAAATCTTAAATTTTTGGAGTTGATAGCATATGTGATTATTGTTTTGATGTTGTTTTGAATTTTTTTAAAAATATATTTTAATAATTTTTAAATATTGATAAAATTTAATAATTACAATTAAGACACTTGTTGAATTAATTGATTTAGGCACTCACCGGATTTCCATCCAAGTACTCGCGATCCCTCCTCTCCTCACATACTTCAAACTTGGCCTATAAATACTTGATTAGCTTGCTCCAATTTTTATGTACAAGCAGATCATATAACATATAGAATCTTTACAAGATGGAGCAGAAAGATCACAACCATGTTAGAAGAAGGAAAAAGGGAGGCCTTCTCACATTGCCCTTTATCTTTGGTAAGCCTCTAAACACTTCTCTCTTGGTTTTTCTGTCATGAGTATGTGTGTGTATGGATTTGAATTCTCAGAATGTTGTTGTTTTCCCCTTCACACAGAAGCACTGATGATTCTGTGTAAGCCTTTTCGTTAATGGGTTTTGATTTTTTTTTTTTTTTCCTTTTGTGAATGAAGCTAATGATGTGTGTGAGAAGCTAGCAGTGGTGGGTTTCGGTACAAACATGATTAGCTACTTGACAACACAACTACACCTTCCATTAACCAAAGCAGCTAATACAGTCACCAACTTCAATGGAACTGCCAGCTTGACTCCTTTGCTAGGCGCCTTCCTCGCCGACTCTTACGCCGGAAAATTCTGGACTATCACCATAGCTTCCATTTTCTACCAAATTGTAAACACGCTTGTTTCTTACCATATCATGCTTTTCTATTTTTGGAAGACGGCTCCTCATTTTTAACAAGTGATATTATTGCAGGCAATGACAAGTCTGACATTATCAGCAGTGCTTCCAAAGCTGAGGCCACCTCCATGTGAAGTAGGTAAGGAGGTGTGCCAAGAGGCTGACTCAGGACAGCTGGCAGTACTGTACGGGTCACTGCTGCTGGCGGCACTCGGGGCAGGTGGGATCCGGCCTTGTGTGGTGGCATTCGGGGCGGACCAGTTTGATGAATCGGATCCAGAACAAACCACCAAGACGTGGACCTACTTCAACTGGTACTATTTTGTCATGGGAGCAGCAACACTAGTGGCTGTGACTGTGATTGTATACATTCAAGATAATGTGGGATGGGGATGGGGCCTAGGCGTCCCAACCATAGCCATGTTTCTGTCAATCATCACCTTTGTTGTTGGATATCCATTTTACCGGAACTTGGATCCGGATGGGAGCCCGTTTACCCGCTTGGTCCAAGTGGGTGTGGCTGCATTCAGGAAGAGAAAGCTACGACATGTGTCAGACTCCGAATTATTGTACCAAAACGATGAACTGGATGCCTCCATTTCTTTGGAAGGGAAGCTCCTTCATTCTCAACAGTTCAAGTAAGTCTCGCTCTTTGTTTAATCCCCCCCCCTCCTCTTTATTTAATACAGTTCAAGCAGGTTTCAAGTTAGAGACATATAGTTAAGGGTTTTGTTAGAGCTGGGTCAAGTTTGGTAGACCTGCTCTGAATAAATTTTTGTTAAGACAAATAATTAGTGTATCGAGCTTAGGTGTTTAAATTTTTTTTTTCTTTACTTTAAACTTATTTCAGCAGCTTGAATAAGTTCAAACCCAAATGAAACTAACTTAAATACTCGAATTATTTTTTATTAACTAACTGAAATTAACTTTTATTTCATCTGGGCACTTACAAACCGTTTCTTAGACTCTCCATTGATACACTAATTATTTGTTTTCAATTTTTTTATAATATTAAAGAATAATAAATACAAGGGGTTACTTTTTATACATACACTTTGAATCAATGATTAAAAAATGGGATTAGACTGGACGGTTGGATAGGTCCAGATTTTTGCTTAGTCGATATGTACAAACAGTTTTGAGATTGAGTCGGATTGGGTCATTTTAGACCGACGATCGAATCGAGAATCAAAATCAAGTTAGGAACTGAATTCAGTTTTTAAAAACCAGACTGTTTAAAAAAAATTATCAAATTTTTTCTTAGAAAATTACCAATTTTTTTAGTTATTTAATATTATGTTATATCATATGGCTTATTAAATCATGATAAACTTAAAATATTTAATTTTATTTTTAAGTTAAGTAGCAATTTTATATTTATTTTTATATTTAAATTATTATATGCATATATAATTTTTTAATTTAAGTATTATGTTATTGGTTTGACCATTGATTCAAATAATGGGTTAAACCATGCAAATCGTAAATTGTTAACTTTTTCAATTCAATATTTAGTTCGATTCTGAAAATATTACTTTAAATGCTTGGTTTCATTTTAGCAAGAGTAAAAGAAAAAAAAATAGTGGCTTCTAGTGTTATGTTATTTGAAAATTTTTAATTTTTAACACAAATATTGAAACCGACTAAAAAATGAAATAAAAAAACTCTAAAAATTCAATTATTCAGAGCAAATAAACCTGAGATATTAATTCTTTTTAGCTTAAAAAAATTTACAAAGCTAGTCATATAAATTCTTTTTATATAAGCTTAAAAAAATTTACAAAGCTAGTCATATAAATTCTTTTTATATATTTAAATATTTTAAGTTTAACTTGAATAAATTTGGCCTATTAAATTTCTGGCTGTAGAATTGTTCATGAAGGTCCTAAATGTGTTCATGAAGTAATGGCAATATTATTAGGCGAGGAACGTAAAGGTAGTCAACATAAACCATTGCTAATTTTTTTTGGCCAATAAACCATTACTAATTTGAGTATTAGGTGAAAGCAGTCAGATTTTTAAGAATACGTGGGGCCCAGATTTTATTGCTTTTCCTCCAGTGTTTGTCCTTAAATACATGCCTATTCAATCATTATCCTCAATCATCCTCTCTCTTTCTTACTTTTCCTTCATTCATTCATTTTCTGCGACCACTGATTTTTTGTTTTTTCCCTGTTACAACATGTGGTCACCGGTCATGTGGTGTCGCGCCTCACAAATTGCCGTTGCGTGCACAATTTTTTCATACTATTTCTTTAGTTATAAAAAAACAATATAAAAGCAGGCTGGTCACATGTTATGTTTACACAAACAATGTTCAATATGATTATCCATGTCAATAATCAAATTATAACCAATAATATTATTCAACGAAGAGAATTCAGTAATCATGACTTACATGACCTTTGCACAAATTTCAAAATTTTAAAATTCATTTTTTATTTATATATTCTATGACTTAAAATTCAAAGGATTTTGTATAATTTGGACAAGAACAAAATATCATTAACTAAACCCATTTTCATTCACGGGCCTTCATGATTTGGTGGCTTGAAATTGCAAATGCGACATGCCGAAATTATTGAAATGTCAAAACCCTCAAGCTACTACGGTTCATGTCTATCTATTTTGTGCATAGGACACAGGCACACAACTAGCACGCAACAAACACTAAGCCCCATTTAGTATGAGGAAAAGGTTTTTGATACAATTAGAATTAAAATTAGAATTGAAATTAAAATAAAATTAAATTTTAAAAGTATAGTTTGTATGAAGATGGAATCTCACTATTATTTTAATAAGTATATATATTTAAGTAAGAAAAGTTTAGGATATCCTTTGCAATTTTTTTTTCTTTAAAAACTATACCCTTCTGAATATTATAATTGTTGAGAGTACAGCCATTATTCTGAAACGAATTGAGAAGTCACATAAAAGGGCAGAGGTGTCTCATAGCTGCACTTCTATGGAATCAATTCCACCTTCATCCTAATGGAATTTGGTTCTAGCAATTCCGATGGAATTACAATTTCTGAAAATCACTCTAGATTACCAAACATGCCCAAAACTTGATTCTATTTTCATTTCCATTTCTAAATTTAAAATTCAAGGATACTAAGGAGAGCCTAAGCTCAAGATATAAGGAAGAAAATTATGAAAAAATTTGATATATATATATAATTTTATTTATTCTCTTAAATGCAGATTTCTGGACAAGGCAGCCATAGTGGGTGAAGAGGATGAGAGAGACCTTAAAAAACCAAATTTATGGAATCTAAACACAGTTCATAGAGTAGAGGAACTCAAGTCGTTGCTAAGAATGGGCCCAATATGGGCCTCAGGCATCTTACTCATCACAGCCTATGCCCAGCAAAACACCTTCTCTCTCCAACAAGCCAAGACCATGGACAGGCACATCACCGCCACCTTCCAAATCCCCGCCGGCTCCATGACCGTCTTCACCATCCTCACCATGCTCGCCACCACCGCCTTCTACGACCGCCTCTTCATCCCCGTCGCCCGCCGTGTCACCGGCCTCGACCGCGGCATCACCTTCCTCCACAGAATGGGCATGGGGTTTGTCATCTCCATTTTGGCCACCCTCGTCGCCGGGCTCGTCGAAGTGAAACGCAGGCAAGCTGCAATCTCCACCGCCGCCAAATCCATCTCCGTGTTCTGGCTTGTGCCGCAGTATAGCCTGCATGGAATGGCTGAAGCTTTCATGTCCATAGGGCACTTGGAGTTTTTCTATGACCAGGCTCCTGAAAGCATGAGGAGTACTTCCATTGCTTTGTTTTGGACTTCGATTTCGGCTGGGAATTACATGAGTACGCTCCTGGTTTCATTGGTGCATAAGTTCAGTCGTAAGCCTGATGGATCAAATTGGCTTCCTGATCATAATCTGAACAAAGGCAAGTTGGAGTACTTCTATTGGCTCCTCACGTTGCTCCAAATTGTTAACTTTGTTTACTACGTGGGTTGTGCTAAAGCCTACGTTTATAAGCCAATTCAGGTGCATGGTAAAGGGGATGAAGATAGTGGTACAAATGAGAACCAGATTGAGCTTGCGTCCAGCAAAGTCTGAGATTGCCGCTTTGGTTGATTTAGTGATTTAGATTTTCTTGTTTCTTAAATAAATATTTATAATAGATGCGTTTATCAGGCTGAGGTAGTCTCTCTTACTTTTATTCTGGTGATTACGTAAGCTTTGTAGATGTTGTAACTTGTAAGGTGAACATTGTAAATAAATAATACTGCACTACTAATAGGAAACAGTAAAACGGTGCTCTTACAATAGCCAGTATCATTTGTTCATCAGTTCTGAATTTTCTTGTAGTTCGGCTATGGAGGCTAGGAAATCCAATACAGATCGTCAGTTTAAAATCAGATAGTATTGGTTGAAATTACATGGAATCGATAAGGTTGAAATTACAACACTGCCTGAGGTATTTATGTTTAAATTAAATTACAACACAACCATATGGAGTCTTGCATACGAAGAAAATATATTTTTATCTTTAAAATTTAGAAATGCATGGCATATATATATATTTGCGTATCTAAATATCTGATGTAATTTTTGACCAGTCTCAAGTCACTATTTGTTGTTTGTTCCGGTAACAAAAATATAATAAAAACAAGAAACATTACACAATATCTGTAAATCAGAAGTTTCTAAAGACTCTATTTGCCTGAAGAAATTTACATATTTTTGAAATTAAGAGATGATGATGAAAGGTGTTCATCAAAACCAATACAAATTGATTACACCAAACTAAATCGAATTAAATCGACATGAACTGCATGATCATGAATAAAGTTTGGTTTGTTTTTCTTTTAGCCGAACCCATCAATTCAGTTCAGTTCATATTTTTGCTACTTAAAACTTGAACCAAATTGAACCAACCTCATATTACATTTATTTTATACATTTTTATAAATTTTTCCAAGTTTTTTCCCCAAATTTAATTATTTGTAATTCACTAGTAAAAAAAATCTATTACAATTAATTAAGTATTGTCTATAATTGTTTATGATATATTTTTAATTTTATAATTAAGTGTTTTAAAAAACATATTGGTCCCACAATGGGGAACTTCCGATTAAGATAAATGAAAGGTGGTAATGTCCCAGGATTTTTCATGATACCAAACGATGAAATCAAAAATAAAACAACAAATTGAATTTTAATAGTTAAAAATATCAATCAATCATTGTAAAATATTCTTTTATCTTCAATAGACTTTTTTTCATTAAAAATAATAATTACTAATTAGGAATTTCCAGTAAATATACGTGTGCGTTTGTGTACATACATATTTATATTTATTATGAAAAACATTTCAACCAAAAATTGAAGCTTGATTAACTGAATTAGATGGTTCAACAATCAAACCAAATTATTAGAGACAAAAAGATATACAAATTCCAATATTTTTTTTTAAAAAAAGGACAAATAGTTCCAAATACATCCAAAATCAAAAGAATAAATGAAAAAGATAATTAACTCAAAAATAGGATGAAGCCAAAAAAAGGAAACTAAAACACGAGAGACGCATGTTCGCTTGCACTAGTTTCGAACACAAACTCCTAACGTAGACTGTATTGAAGTTGGTGAGAAGGGAGCAAATATCTTTTGCAATCATCAAATTAGAATCTTTGTCAAAGAAGAAGTTCGGCCAACAAAGAAGATGGAGATCTTGAGATCAGAAATTCCGAACAGTAAGATGTTGGAATATTATTTATAAATTATCATTAATTAATAAGCCCAATAAATTGATCTTTATGATCTTGCGTGGACCGTGATAGGTGGACCACACAAGTGAGTCCAATGGGCAGAGGCCCAACCCACAACCCAATAGCCGTCAGTTATTTCATATCTCTTTAACTGACTGAGTCAGAGATAATAGATAATATAATTATTTAATTATTTAATAAGGCGGTTACTGATCTGATCTATATAAGACGATTAGTCGGTAACCGCAAATACACGACTCATTTCTTCTACTTCCATTATCTTTGAACTCTTTGAAGGCTTTGGAAACTTGTGGGTTGTGTACCTGCCTATACTCGAGGTAATCGAGATTTCTCAAACACTCATGGATTCTTCAGGTACACATGAATTATATTCTATCATATTTATTATACATATGAATTGAGATATGGGTTTACACGTGGCATCAAAGCCTGATTATGAATATTAATCTATATATCTCAATTCAATATTCTTAAAGAGATGATGATAAATTGAATATGTTAATGATGATTTTGGATATGTGATTTTGGTTTAAATCTGTTATATTTATGATGAAACCATTAGCATGATTTATCAAAAAAAAATTCTGGATTCTTCAGTGCGGTGAAAGGAGGAGTCGCCGGAGGTGGTCATCGGCGTTGTGACGGCAGCGGGTTCTGCTCCAGTTTCACGGCGCTGCAAGTTGTCGGTCGTCTTCCATTCAGCAACCCTCGCAGGCGACGTCCCCATTCTCAGCTCCTTCTGGATCCAGCTCATGGTCAGGGAAAGATGCTATTCAGCAGCGTCTGCTTCTCGCCGGCGTCGTGGTGGCCGACTGGCTGTTCACGTTCGCCGGCGTCCTGGTTGCTGCACCGTCGTCGGCGAGCTCCTCCTTTCTCCTCTAGGTCGCAGCAACCAAGGACGCTGCAGCAAGGAACATGAAGCGAATCCTAAGGATCCGGTTTCATGGTTCTAGGGCCCAAATTTCGTTTGGGCCCAAATCCATAAAAAAAATTGGGGAGAAGCTGGCGGCGCAATGAAACTGGATCCTAGGGATCTGGTTTTCTTGCGTTGGGCCCAGATGAAATTTGGGCCTGGTTAAAAAAAAAACTCCTGTTAATTGCGTTTAGGCCCCAGTTTTAAATTACCTCCTTGGACCCACAATTTTATTGAATTTATGAATTAGCCCCATTATATTTCTGGAAATTACATGTTAGTCCCTTAACTTTTAGAATTTCAATTTTGACCCAAATCTCTTTAAAATTACTTATTTGCCCCTAAGTAATTTCAAAATTTCACTGAAGTTCTAAATTTGTTTCCTAAATCCCAAAAGACCCTAAGGACCTTTTAAAATTATTTTGTTCTGTCCTAAGGTCATAAAATTTGTGACTTTGTGAATTATTGATGATGCTTAAGATCTTGTAGCATTAATAATGGACATACCCTATAGGTATGACATTATTAATGTGATTTTGATGGTTGGCTTTGAGAATAGGCTAATAGCACTCCTTTAATGTATTAGATATTTATTGTACCCTATAGGTATGAAAATATTTAATGCATTATTTTGTATGGACTTTTTGTGTGAGCTAAATCTTTATGGTATATAAGCCTTCTTGGTGCATGTTTATAGTTGCATAATTGATAATCGCTTGTTGGGAAATTCTGTTTTATAATTATGTTGTGCACGCATAATTAATATTTCCCATTTTCTGTTTTGCGATTTCAGTTTCTGCTTTTACGCAACTATCCTTTGTGAAGGCTCTCAATGGGACTAATTATGATGACTAGAAAGAGTCCCTGACTATGTTTCTGACCATTTCTGAGAAAGATTTAGCTCTGAGAGAACCCAAGCCTGTGGATCTCTCTTCTGAGTCTAGTGCTTCTAAAATGGCCTTCCATAAACAATAGAGTGAGTCTAACCGGATCTGTCTAGCGATCATCAAGTACACAATTGAAAAGGAACTTAGGGACAACATTCCTGAAAAGGATACTGCAGTAGAGTACTTGAAAGCTATTGGTAACAAATACAATAAGCTTGACAAGACTCAAAAGAACTACTATCTGTCACTTCTTGACAATACTCGATATGATGGAGTTTCTGGTGTCAGGGAGCACATTCTGAAGCTTGTTCATTACTATAACAAGCTTAAGTTATATGGGATTGATTTGGGTGAAAGTACCTTGGTTTACCGTATTCTTCAATCATTGCCATCAAAGTATGCAATCTTGAGGACTTCATACAACTCACAAGAAGCTGAGTGGTCTGTTGACCAGATGATATCGATAGTCACTCAAGAAGAGGAAGCTATAAAGAAGAATTTCTCTCACTCAATAAACTATGTTTCTCATGGCTCAAGCAGCAAATCTAGAGGGTCATATAAGAAAAAGGGAAAGAAACATGATGCCCCAAAGCCTAATAATCCAACCTTTAAGAAGGATGGTGATAAGAGTGAGAAGTTGAGGAAGAAACCCTTTAAAAGGTTATGCAATTATTGCAAGAAACCGGGTCACATTAAAGCTAATTGCTTCAAGTTGAAGAACAAATAAGAAAGTGAAGGTACAACTCTTCAAACTATCCCTCTAGCTCTAGTTTGTTTTGAATCTAACACCATTGAAACTTCCTTTGACTCATGGTGGCTGGATTCTGGTACCACTGTACATGTTGTGAATTCTCTACAGGGGCTAAGAAACCAGAAGGTTCCAAGTAAGGCACAGAAGTCAGTCTTTGGCATAGCAGGGAGCAAGGCATCAGTTGAATGCATTGGAACTATTTCTTTATATTTAAATTCTGGTCATGTTTTGCATTTGAACAATGTTGTTTATATACCTTCTGTAAAGAGAAATTTAATTTCAACTTCTGCATTGGATATTTGTGGCTATTCATTCTTCTAAGGAAATGGGAAAATTGACATTTGTTTTGATTCCATTAATGTTGGTGTCACTTCCTTGATATATGGTTTATATCGATTAAATGATTGGTCACTTGAACTTCCTAATCTCCATATCAATGCTGCTATTGGGCATAAACGTCAAAGGCCCAATGATAATTCCTCTATGTTATGGCATCGTTGTTTGGGTTATATCTCTAAAGAGAGATTGGAGTGCATGATCAAGCAAGGTGTCTTACGAGACCTTGATTTCTCAAATTTTGAGACTTGTGTTGATTGTATAAAGGGAAAATTCCCTACTAGAGCTAGAACCAAAGGGGCAAAGAGGTCTGAAAACACTTTAGACCTAATCCATACTGATATCTGTGGACCTATCACGCCTCTGGCTATGGGTGGTTTCAGATATTTCATCACCTTCACGGATGATTACTCTCGTCATAGATGGATTGAACTCTTGCGCGAAAAGGGCAAGTCCCTTAATGCATTCAAGACCTTTAAAGCAGCAGTCGAATTGAAATTTGGCAAGTTGATTAAGTGTGTGAGATCTGATAGAGGAGGAGAATTTTATGGGAGATATATTGAGATTGGCAGGAACCCTTGGCCATTTGCTTTGTACCTTCAAGAGCATGGCATTAAAGCTCAGTATACTATGCCTGGTACCCTGCAGTAAAATGG